CTTGTTAGCCAAACTGCTTTAAGCCTTAAGGAGCCGTCTCAGCATAGTGACGGTGCCATGAGGAGGAAAGCTGTGGCTGCTGACAATCTAATCACTAATCAAAATACACCTCTTCAGGGCTCCGCATTAAGGCTCGTCAGGGACACTTAGTGAGTCTATTACAGCGAAGTGACGTTAGCTAGCTAGCGTTTTTCATAAGTGACGTTAGCAGAGCTGACAACTTAAAACCCTTGGGAGTGAGATTTTGTTGGGTGACCATAAGGTCGACGGAGGGGGGGGTTCGCTACGGGGGGGGGTGCCGTCGTGGAGCTTGAGGAGTAACCAACGCGGCTCTGACCCAAGTCCGTTTTTTCTTTTCTCTTTTGCGTGAGAAATTGGATGTGTGGCGTGTGAAAACATGCGGAAGCGTCACATGGCGAAACTCGGGGGGGCACACAGAGTTGAAAAGGAGGGGCAGGGAGGGGTGACTTCGGGGGAATCTGTGTACATGGGGAAAAGGGGGCTCTGTGAGGGAGAAGGTGGGGGGGGGTGATGGCTGGGTTTGGGGGAGAAAGGAAGGGGGAATACGGGGGAGGGGGGTGAAAGGTGTGTTGGGGGGAGAAGGAGAGAGGGAGACAGTGAGCGATTAAGAGTAAGATTTACACAGAATTAGTTGTTTGTGAGGAGCCGTTTCAGTCCTACACCTGTAAGTGAAATCACTTCGCTTCTCCAGTGTAGAATTAGGTCTCAGGCCTGAAGCATGAGAAAAGGTTGTACCACTTTCTCCTCTGCCTCCTGGGCCTTCGGTTTTGAAGGTCTTCCAGCTGAGACTTTAATGAGGATTCGGTCTTCTGCTGCTCCTCCTCCTTGTCTTTCAGAGTCTGGTGGATTTGTTGTGTTTCCTGAAGGAGGAAAGACTTCTCCTGCTGCCATAAGAGACGTTCACTCTTCAGCTGATGTTCATATTTCTTCTTCAGTGTTGCTATGAGGTTTCCGTGGGCTTTCTCCTGTGTGTCCAGCTTGTCTACACAATTGTCCTTGGCTGTTTCCAGCTGTGAAGACAGTTCCTGATTGCGGAGACGCTCCTTTACCAACTGGTCTGTGGTGCTTTTTAGGACTCTCGTGATCTCGATAGTCTCCTGTCTCTGTTGCAAAAGCGTGTTGTGGGACAGTGACATTTTTTCAAACATAAGCGCAGTCTCGTTCCCCCTTTTTTGAACCGATGTCGTGTGCCTCAGCTTGGTATCATGGAGTTCCTCCTTGAGTTCCTCCAGCCTGGCTTTGAGGAAAGACTTCTCCTGCTGCCACTCGATAGCACGATTCTTTGCCTGCTGCTCAGCCTTCTTCACAGCAGCCAAGAGTTCCTTGTTCTTCCTCTTTTCACATGCAAGATCATCCACCAAGAAGGCGTTCTTTTCCAACAAGAGTTTCTGCAGGGAAGCTTTTTCCTTATTCCATTGACACCGTTCAGACTCTAGTTGATGTTCACATTTGTTAATTCTAGCTGCGAGGTTCTCTTTGTCTTGGTTTGCTATAATCAGCTTGGCACGAAAGTCCGCCTTGCATATCTCGTGTTCCTCCAAGGCTTTTTTATGATCTAGCAGGCTAAGTTCCAAACTGTGCTTAACTCCGAGAACTCCCTCTAGTTCTGACTGGTCGTGAAGCCACTGTAAAATCTTTGCATGCTCTGCTACATGACGCTGTATCTCCAACAGCTTCCTACAGGTTTTTTCATGTTTGGTTGTGAGGAAAGACCTCTCCTTGTCCCACCGCAGACAACCATCCTTCAAGTCCTGCTCAGTCTTTTTGAGAGCAGCCGTGGTTTTCTCGTTGATATACATCTGCTCTTCCAGTTTAGCCTGACAGGTCCTCCATATCTCCCCCTCATTCTCTTGGTGTTTTTTCTGCTGATGGTGGCTCTGAGTCTTGAGCAAGTCCTGTGATGCTTTCAAGTCCTGCTCAGTCTTTTTGAGAGCAGCCGTGGTTTTCTCGTTGATATACATCTGCTCTTCCAGTTTAGCCTGACAGGTCCTCCATATCTCCCCCTCATTCTCTTGGTGTTTTTTCTGCTGATGGTGGCTCTGAGTCTTGAGCAAGTCCTGTGATGCTTTCAAGTCCTGTTCCGACTTGTCAAGAGCAGCCTTGAGCTTAATGTTAATGTCCATCTGTTGGTTGATTTTAGTCTCACAGGAGTCCCGAAATAACTGCATCTCGCCCTCGTTGTTGAGGTGTTTTTGAGAGGAAATCTGGAGGAGGTCTTGTGATGCTTTCAGGTCCTGTTCAGACTTGTCAAGAGCAGCCTTGAGCTTAATGTTAATGTCCATCTGTTGGTTGATTTTAGTCTCACAGGAGTCCCGAAATAACTGCATCTCGCCCTCGTTGTTGAGGTGTTTTTGAGAGGAAATCTGGAGCAGGTCTTGTGATGCTTTCAGGTCCTGTTCAGACTTGTCAAGAGCAGCCTTGAGCTTAATGTTAATGTCCATCTGTTGGTTGATTTTAGTCTCACAGAAGTCCCGAAATAACTGCATCTCGCCCTCGTTGTTGAGGTGTTTTTGAGAGGAAATCTGGAGCAGGTCTTGTGATGCTTTCAGGTCCGCTTTGATGGCGTTTGTCTCCACTCTCAGTTTTCTCTTCTCGATGTTATTGAGGGCAGTCAATCTTAAGCTCAGCGGCCTTTCTTTGCCACGTTGCTTGAACCTGAGAGCTTGTTCCATCTTCCTCAACTCAATGTCTTGTGTCTTTGTTAGAGCCCTCTCATTTTGAAGTTGTCTCTCCAATTCCAACTCTCTGCTGGTTTCAGCGCACGGTTTTAAATTCTCAGCCTTATTAAGTAGAGATTTGACCTCCTTGGAATTTGAGGCAATTTCTTCCAGCTTTATCTCAATTTGCTCGACGTTGGCCATACTGTTCTTTGCTTGTCTACGTGGTCTCCTGCTCAGTGGGCTTGCCATTGTAACTGGTGAAGTTCTCTCTAAAGCGAACCGATATCCAAACAAAAGTTATATAATCCAAACAGATTATCCGAGCTGTAGTGACCGCTAGAACAGAAGCACTGAACTGAACTGATCTGATATCTGACTTCTGTGATCCTGCATTCTATTTCTATTTTAGAATTAGTTGTTTGTGAGGAGCCGTGCTTTTCCTGCACGTCCTCTTCGCATGTCTGCATGTCTCAGCTGGGCTCGAGCCAGGCCCAAAAGAGTCGGATCCAAGAAGCAGTTTAGCCAATTACTGATTAAAGTGAGTGACAAACGTAGCGCCCCCTAGCTCTCCTGCTATTTTGGTGGAGTGCAATGCCCGAATTCCTAAACGGTTTCCTCTATCTATATATCTCCATATCTATATCTATATCTCTCTCTCTCTCTCTCTATATATATATATATATATATATATATATATATATATATATATATATATATATATATATATATATATATATATATATATATATATATATATAGAGAGAGATAGAGATATAGATATATAGAGAGAGAGAGAGATAGAGATATATAGATATATATATATAGATATCTATAGATATATAGAGAGAGAGAGAGAGAGAGAGCGCGCGGGCGATATATATTTATCTCTCAAAAAAATACATGTGAATAAATGTGTATTGGTGATGAATGGTATTCTGGAAGGCTAATATTTTACATTTTAAAATGTCCAGATGCACTCCAGAAATGTTTGCAGAGACCCTCACCTCCTGAAGAAGGCACAGCTGATCTGCTAGGTTCATCTCTCTGGACCTTGTTTACTTGTTATAGTTATTTATATCTATAAATGCATATTAATGAAGCTATAATCAGCTATTAGTTCAAGATTATGTAAATACACTCAGACTTATGACCTCACACTTCATTCATTCATTCATTGTAAATTACTTTCGACCTCATTCTCGATCGTTTCATAATTTTAAAGAACTCCACTGGTCTGGTTAAACTCTGCTTAAATACAGCTGCAGGTGAAGGGACATCTAGGATCACACACTGCATGAAAAGTGAGATTTTTGTCCCCGTAAACGCCCGTAAATCTCCCTAATTTACGACAGTTTGCGACAATTTGCAACCCGCGCACGTCGCATGTCGGAAACAAACCATGACGTATGTGGAGAGCTTGCGGAGGTGCAAATGGCCCTAATTAGCATATGAATGCAGCGAAACCACGGGGGGCCGAGCGGGCTTGAATATCCTTACTCCTTATTGGATGAAACTTTCAAACAAGTAAAATCACTCGTGATTGGCAGCAAAACCACACCTGGGCAGACCAGGCTTGAGTTTCTTTGCTCATGATAAAGTAAAATCACTCGTGATTGGTTGGCAGATCTGTCGCTATTGGTCACCCGCCTCATTTTATTTATATATCTATATTCATATTAAGCTGTATATTCATTTCATTGTTATCCTATGTAGGCTACTACACTATTATTCGGATACCATCCAGGACATCAATGAATTTATAGAGGAAATGAACATTTGCCAGGAACTTGTTTATGCAAAGAAAGAGCTTTATTAACAACACACAAACAACAACTATATACAAAGTGAGGATCTGCCCACACTTGGGTAAAGGCGGTTTAAAAAACTACAGCTCAGTAAACTGTCCATTTGCTTCCTCGGGGTTGTAGACTGTCACTGGCGGCGTGTTTTCCGAGGCAGGTCTGTTGTGCAGGCGCCTAGTGTGTGTGGCTCTGTATTTCTGAGTTGCCTCTGGTTAGAGGCGTCTACGAAATGGCGGCGACTGTACAATCCACCCCGAGACCCCGCCAACAACGCCATCCTCTCCGTCCGACGTAAGCTCTACCGTGGCGGATTTCCAGAGTTCCACCTCGTCATCAGCCAGCACACATTGTCCCGATTCCAGCAGCTGTAAAAACAACAATGAATCAGTACTGTGCGATGCGTACGGACACATCGATCAATGCACCTGAAAAAAGTCAGCAAATAAACTCTGACCGTCTTTCTTCTTCGACTCCGCGCTGAATCCTTCGCAGCTTCCGTCCGCAATGAGTGTTCCGCCTGAACCTGAAGCTCCTGCGTCCCGTCTCAAAATACGTATTACAGGCGGCTGGAAAACAATAAAATGAGTGTGGTATGAATACAAAAAAATCAAACGCAAGTCACAGTAACATTTAACAAGGAAGGAGAAACAGTAAACTGTGTCACTTACACACAATGACGTCTTTATCTAAATCGAAATCTGGACTTTTGCCGGAGCAAATACGAGGTCACGGCCTCATTATGAGGCGAGATTAGTCTGTGAAAACAAAATGTACAGTTATGATCGGTATCCATCCTATGGTATCTATACGTATATATTTCCGTATACCGCAGAATGAAAGCATATTCTTTAAATCTGACCCTTGCTCCGGTTCGTAGCGCCTGTAAATCGTCTCGGAGTTGTGAAGACGGCGCACCGCTTCCTGTAAACGACACGGCAAAGAAAACGCACTTTAACAAAGCTGTTTCTGCTCACATGTAAGGCTACTAGGCTACTCTTAGCGTTCATTTTTGGCTACGCTACTTTTAGCTTAGCTTGCAGTCATCGAACGTATTCTTACCGCTATCTTAGCATTGTGCACCCGTCTCCTCTTCTTTGAGTCAGTTCCTACAAATCCAGAGCCGCCAACCTCAAGCGAACCGCTCGTTGATATCGGCAGTTTGTTGTTGGAGTTGACGAGACGATCCACTGAGAGCATCAGCAGCTTCTTCTCGTCTGTCTGCGGACTGGCCGAAAGTTGGTGACCGCGGAGAGGAGTTGAAGGCGAGTTGAACGCGAGACGTCGTCCCGCCATTATTCACGAACCAGCAAAAACCAAACAAAGGAACTGGAGATACAGTTCTTCTGAATATAGAATGCTCGTCTTGCAAGTACAGCTGTATGAGTCATGCCTATGACCTAACACGTGATTCGACGAGGAGTCTAAGGGTCCTCCAATCACATACGAGGTTATTGTTATACGGAAGGACTCGCGAGACCAGCTGAGCTCGCGTATGCTCGTCTATAAACGAGACCGGTGTGCCTGCCTATGCTGTGAGTTGAAAGATGAAAGTCCTAAGACCGAGGATAAGAATAAGAGAATAAGGCTGTAACATAACAACAAAATGTGGAAAAAGTGAAGCGCTGTGAATACTTTCCGGATGCACTGTACACAGGTGAAGCCAATCATGAGAAGGTGGCCAGTTGCAAGTTGTTTTCCTCTTTGCATCTTCTCTGAAGACTGGCAACATGGGAGCCTCAAAACAACTGTCAAATGACCTGAAAACAAAGATTGTTCAACATCATGGTTTAGGGGAAGGATACAAAAAGCTAGCTCAGATTTAAGCTGTCAGTTTCCACTGTGAGGAACATGGTGAGGAAATGGAAGACCACAGGCACAGTTCTAGTTAAGGCCCGTAGCGTCAGGCCAACAAAAATCTCAGATAAGCAGAGGCGAAGGATGGTGAGAACAGTCAAACTCAACCCACAGACCAGCTCCAAAGACCTACAACATGATCTTGCTGCAGATGGTGTCACTGTGCATTGTTCAACTATTCAGCGCACTTTGCACAAGGAGATGCTGTATGGGAGAGTAATGCGGCAGAAGGTTGGGGTGCCCAAATTCATGCACCTGCCTACTTTTGTTTTAGTAATTATTGCACACTTTCTGTAAATCCTATAAAGTTCATTTCACTTCTTAAATATCACTGTGTTTGTCTGCTATAGGATATATTGAAATTTCTGTTTTGAACAACAAATGATACATAAAAGAAAATCTTGAAAATGATCAGGGATGCCCCAACTTTTTCATACCACTGTATGAACAAGAGAAAAAAATCAGTCATTGTATTGCCATAATGTATCTGTATTAAAAGATGAACATCAATTGTATGTATTTGCTTTCAGGTGAAGGAGCAACAGACACAACCCGCCCTGATTCTTCACTACAGCCTAATTTATCTTTTGTATTTGTATTTATTCGGCAGGGAATGTGAGAATGTGTGAACAAGGGACACATAAAGACATTTAGCTAATTCATTTGTTGCTGGAGTTCCAAAGTTACTAAAAATGTAACTTTTCTGAGACCATTGTATTGCCTGTAGTACATTTATCAAATAAAGATGTACAGTATAATACATACAACATAGTTGTAGTCTATATGTATATCAGAATGATGACATGGAATGGATATGGTTATGGTATAAGTGTGCCTGGGTGGGGTGGGGGGGGCTCAAATTTTAGTATTGTATAGGGCAGCCAATGGGCTATAGCCGCCCTGGATTACAGAATGGCACTTATGTCCTGTGTCATCCGCAAACTCGTTATTGCCTGGTGATTTATTTTCACGGATTTAAACCCGGGGTGAAAATAGTCCCACACTATTCGTCTATTTATGCCCCCCTCCCCAATTTTAACTTCATCCCACATCATGGTATAAGTTGATAGCTGTTCTAAAAGGTGGGCTGCATTAAATACAAAATACCAATGCTGTTTTCTTTCCATTAGTAATATTTTAATGAGTAGAATGTTGCCCAAATAACAAGAAGGAGCTGCACTGGCCCATTGGGTCCGTCCTTGATTCATTCCGTCCAGCTGCTAGATAGGATGGATCTTATCTCAGTATGCAAAGGGGACCCAGTTGTGGGAGCCACCTCCTCTAAAGCAGGGGTTTCCATTGTCTGATGCTTCTGAGCCTCCAATCAAACCCAAATAATAAAAAATGGGAAGTAATGGATTTTATAACTATTTTCATAATTGTCTTCTGTCTTGGCGATAATCTTCCTCTTTTGAAACTAAAACTCCCATAATTTATTGTAGAAATGGAGTATTATGTTACTATTCTGTCCGTAAATTAACAATAGTTTAAGCTGTTCACCACTTAAGCTGCGTCGAAAGTGTTTAACTTGAGCATTTCCTTTTTGCTTTGATCTTGAATAAAACATAAAACTAACTCTCAGGCAAGTTCCTGGGACATATACAAGGACGTCGTGAGGTTTGAGGCACCTTCTGCTTTGCAATAAAGAGCTCGTCGATTGATTGTCACAAATTGTCACAAAGTCACAAATTGCAGCCTTGGCGGTTATTTGTGATTTAACAATGTTTCATCCTGCCACGTCTTCATTCCAGCGGGGTATTTATAGTTGTAGGACTTATGATGTAAATAAGCACAGCTAGCTTCAGTTAATTTGTATGCATTGCTGCTCATTAGAACCGAATACAGGACTCTATTGGAACGTGTCCAAAAGGAGGTCTTTTTGAAATACAAGTTGAAGAAGCCAAGGAATATGTTGGTGTTACTAAGTACTGCAGCAATAATTTCTTACACATCTCTTTTGTTACAGTAATTTGTTTTTGTTTTGATCACAGATCCCGATGCAGCTTCCTTTTCTGCAGTGTATCATGTATGTCGGCCATTCTCACTTGTATTCCTTCGTTTGCAAAGAGGCCACCCAAGGTGCATAGTGCAGTTATGCTGATTTCAGCAATATGTCTTTTCTCTTACTTAGCCTGCACAAAAAGTGTGTGGTTGCATAGTTTATAACAGAAGGGGAGCAGAACGAGTAGAGTTTGACTCAGCAACTTGTTGGATCTCTCTTGATTTAATACCTCCGTAACAACTACGGCCATTAGGTTATGGTCCCCGTCTCTAGTTTCAAGCCGACAGGCTTGGCTCATGATGCCCTGCAGCCTTTAATCCAAAAAGCTACATCCTATCGATGCTGTTGCCGGGCATGTTAAACATGTACTTTCGTACTGTGAGCAGGAATGTTACTTTCAGGGTACAAATTAAAGTTGTGTATGTGAATGACTCCTGGCTGTAAGTTGAATTTCACTAATTAATATGAATTTATTTAATTAGCTTGTCTGTGTTTACACTGAAGGCGCTAAACGTTACTTGCCAGTAGTTCAAATTTGGCAGTCGCCGGCGCGTTGGAGCCCCGCGGCTCGGGCCGGAGCTCGGCTGTGGCCGCTGGACATGAGTGATGATTAGCGTTCGGCACTGAAGTGGTACGTTGGTCTCGCAGGGCTCCGTGACTTGCAGTGGTTTTTCTCTTGTGTGCCAGTATCATCCCTTTTCCAGTAGTTTGTTGCCATGTAGACCTGGCAAAATTCATTTTAAACAATGGAGCAAAGTGGTTCCCTTTTTCTTTTGACCCATCATCGATTTGTGTTTTAATTAAAACAGTGGGACTGACACTTGTCACTCCATTTTGTACAGTTATGGTACAGATTTTGGCATCCCCCCCCCCCCCCCGTACTGTTTGGCTCAACACCTACACCCCACCCCTCCCCCCCTTCGACCGGACCGTCAGCGCAGCCATTCCCCTGTTAACAGCAATGGTCTGCCCGTGTTTCGGCGTTGAAGTGGGCCGCACCTGATTTGTGTTTGAGACCCCCGCGTTTTATCGTTGCATGTGAGGGATTTGTAAAAAGCCTTTGGCCATAGTAGAAGAAGGTTTTGAAAGGTTCTTATGACACGTGCATGCTCCCTTCACACAATAATTAAGCGGTAAGGGTGAGGTGTTTTATTTGAGGGCAACGGAGCATTGCTCATTAACCTTTCCAATCTGGAGTTTCCCTGCTAGTCTTGCAAATCTGACCACTTGATCTGTGTTGCACTCGCATGTATCGCTGCTCCCTCTTTCTCTGACAACTGAAAGAGCATCGTAATCATAAGCAAGACCTTTTCTGACATTTTCACAGCGGATCACCAGCAATTTATGGCCATTAGTTACAATATCCAATGCATTTTTTGGGCCACAAAGAGACATTAATCTGGTGCGATCAAACTAACTTTTGGGGGTGATTTAAATAAATTCCGCCGACTGTTTTGTCAATGGCTTGCTTTAAGTTTCTCCGCTCAATCTTTCTCTGGTTTAGGGTAAGACTAATGTGGCAGCGGATGAAGACGAGTGCACATATGCTACATCAACCATGACAATGGCAACAAACAAAAGTGTGGCTGCTGGGGGAATGACTCACCGCTCACGACTCCGACAGAAGGGGCTCCGTTTTAACAGATTTCTGAAGTCAGGCGTTGGAAAATTTGGGGTAAACAATCTAAAAATAGACGCTACCGTGATGGCATGAAATTCCTGTATCTGCAAAGCAGTGCAGTGCTAAAGAGAATAGTGATAGATCTGTGTATGTTATAGTTTACTTTTTTGTCTTTTTGGAAGAAAATAAATAAAACTTAAGGACCGATGGAGACTTCATGTTCCCCCTCAACGTGACTCAATTTGATGTTGTGCAGCACTGGAGACGGAGCGCGCTGCGTCAGCATCCCAGGTCAGGAGTCACGTGACCTGCTCCTCCGGCCTGGCCGGCGGTTTCTCCCGGTGGAGGGGTGAAGGAAACTGGTTTGGGTCTTAAAAAAAACAAAACAAACTGTGGACAGTCCCCTTTAAGCTACTGAA